CCCCTCCATCCTGCTCCATCCCACTGACACTAGGGAGGGTGTGGGGGTTCACTGCTTGTATCCAGATGTTTCATCTGGCAGATGTGCAGCCCACCTGTCCTACCCACCCATCTTGCTGCTTGCAGAGCAGACCATGGGCATGCTGTCCCCCCTTCCCCTGGGCTCCCCTTGCCTTCCTCCCCTTTCCCTGGGCCATGAACACAGAGGTTTCAGTTTAGTTCCGTTTATTTTTTCAGTTTATTTTTTCCATTTTACTTTATTCTGTTCTATTTTATTTTATTCTATTGTATTTTTAGAGTCACAAACACCCAGGGGTTGCAGAAAAAGGGGGGGGAATTGTTCTCTGGAGGGCAGCAGGCTTTCCAAGGTAGTGTCTGAGCGTCTTTAAAAGCGGGCGTCTCGTTAGCTAATACATTACACCAATCAAGGAGAGTTATCTTAAGCCACAATTAATCTGCTCCCTGGCATATGTTGATAGGAAAGCATCATGCTGTTTCTTAATTAAAAGCAAACGGATTAAAAATGATTAATAAGAGTATTAAATATTCTCCTAAACGAAAAGCTTTGGGATTCTTGGGTAAATCTAGCTTTATGCAGGTCTGCAACCGTAAGGCAGCTTCTTGGGGTGGGGTTTTCTTTTTTCCCTTCCCTGAAATCTTCCTAAGTGCCCTACTTTGTATGCAGGGAGCATTTCTGTCACATCTGGGGGCAGAAGCAAGGAGCAAAACCGAACGAGTTTAAAATAATAAGAAGAAAAAACAATGAAATAAGCAAAATCTTGAGGTTGAAATGACATCACTGATTTAAGACAATCCTGTGCATAATGTTGAAGAAAGAAAAAATCCCCAGTTCTTATGAAAGTGTGTCGGGCGGGACCGGGGCTGGGATGGGGTCTGTGCTTTGGGCTCCCTCGCGGCAGTGCCGGCACTCGCCCCTGGGTGTAGCAACACCTCCGTCGGCACAGGGAAGGAGCACTGCTTGTCCCAGTCGCGTGGAAGGGGGAGACCATTCCATGGGCTCTGGAAACTGATGATTAAATATAAAAATGAAGGGTAAGCAGCAAGGAGGCTCATCCGTTGGTGCGACTGCTGCCTTGGCGCTCTGCGGCGTATTGGCAAGGACGGGGGAGAACCAGCTCTGCGGAGGCTGGACGGGCCGGCGGCTGTTGGGGTGCAGGCAAAGCTCCGTTGGGAGAGCAGGAGAGGGGAGACAGCCCCCCAGCCCACCGCATGCCGTGGAGCCGAGCCCTGGCACGGCAGGGAC